ACTCTGCGTCTTCCATTACGCAGCTTAAACACACGTTGATTGTTTGGGTTGGGTGGATTCTAAAGTACAACAATCATAAGCTTTAAATTTAAAAATCAGATCTCATCAATTCTATAGAATAACTACAATCAGAAGAAAACTCACCTGTAACATTACATTATGCATGAGATAAGTTAATCTTCCCGCTGCTCGGCGGCCGCAGTCTTCCGGCGCCAATTCATACGTGCGATTCACACCCGGCATATAGGCAAATCGGTAGTGGGTGTCGCTTGGCGTATGAGTGATCTCGAAATATCCGGCACTGCCGCCAGGGAAGGAAAAGCCGAGAGGGAGGACGTTATCTTCGACAAACATCAAGATTGGACGAGGCCGATCCACCTAAAGGAAGAAATAAAAAATAAATCACCATTAAAAAAGAAAATAAGCAATATTTCAGTCAACTGTTGCTGTGGTGTGCACTTTATAAGTTCTCGCAATGTTTCATTTCAATCAGCTCATGACAATATAAGAATAATAGGAGATTTATAAACTGACCTTTTTTGCTTTAGCTTGCCAAACAAGATATTCGATTTCCTCGTCAATTTCATCCTCGTATTCCGAACCACATGACGTATTAGCCGATAAATTGTCTTCGTCAACACGTACCTAAAATTGATTTCTTGAATTCTCGTAACCTCGTAAAAATTCATACCTAAAATCTCAACTTCACGAATTAAATAAACACACAAGCTAAGAACTTTCACTCGTAAAAAACTTTAAAACCGAACCTGCTGATAGCCAGCAATACTTGCAAGTTTCTCGACAAATCGACCCAATATCAGCACATCTTCAAATCCAGCCTGGACATTTACAAGTATTCCATGCGAAATATCTTGATTGTAGCACTAAAAGTTTATAATGATGATATTATTTCTTGAATATCTTTATTTAACCTAGATCATGAAAAAGATTTGCAGCTTAAGCATAATTCCTCTAGTATGATATTATATCCCAGTATCAAATAAATCATCTACTCTATATAGGAATTGAATTATGAAATAATGAAATAAAAAAGAGACCTCAAGCAACATTTCCGGCAACAGGATCTTTGTGTTGCCCCAAGCCTGGACCGAGAATTTCCTTTCTCCGTTGATCGGGTAAGCAAGGCGAAAAGTCTTTTGGCCATAGACCACGTCCAAATGATCCGGTTCCACCGTGAAAGAATCAAAATCCTTTGAGAAACGCAATTGAGGTGTCATTACGTCGCAACTAAAGAATGAAAGTTAAGACCAAAACCAAAGACAAAACATAATAACAGGCCAATGAAAAACAAAAACGATCAACGAAACCATGAAAACATAAAAATTGAATCTATTCAGCTGGGATCTCGATGTCGCCATTGTTGATGGAGTCGATGACGTCGTGTGGGTGTTGTCCATCAATGGTGCAGCCGACCGATTGAGCGGCTCCGAGGATGTCCTTCACCGTTCTCTTCAACTTCTTTGCCATTGAACGACTGCGCATGGTCCTCGCGATTTTGATGATGGTGTCGATGGTGAGATCGCCGTTGTTTCTGTCGCGAGATGGCTCCTTGAGTTCCCTGATGATGAGAGACGCAGCCGATGGTACCACATCGATCTTGGCGTTTCCCTTTTGGATGGTGAGCTTGCAGGTGACCTTCAATCCCTTCCAGTCTTGCGTTGCCTCACCCCCCAACACTTCATTTCATATTTCTTTTTTATAATATTTTAAATATTTATAATTTTTTTTTTTTTTTTATTTAATAAAAGGTGGACCTCTGCCCCCCCCCCCTCCAACATAAAAATAAAATTTATACCAAACTTAATATTATATTTATTATTCTAATCTCCCCCCCCCACCCCCACCCCAATTCCCCAACACCCCCCCCCCCCCCCCCCCCCCCCCCCCCCCTCCCCCCCCCCCCCCCCCCCCCATCCCCCCCCCCCCCTACCCCTCTCCTCCCTAACCAACCACACACACAAAAAAAAAAAAAAAAAAAAAAAAACAAAAAAAAAAAAAATAAAATAAATTAATAATATATAAAATATAATAAAAAATAAAATCCCAACCACCAAACACAAAAAAAAAAAAAAAAAAAAAAAAAATACCCCCCCCCCCCCCCCCCCCCCCTAAACCCCTACACAATACCACAAAAAAAAAAAAATAAAATAAAAAAAAAAACACCCCCCCACCCCCCCGCCCGGCCCCCGGGGGGGGGGGGCGGAAAGGGGCCCCCCCCCCCCCCCACACCGCGCAAGTGGACGATCTTGAAGATCTCAGTCGGATCGAACTTGGGTGGCATTCTTCCGTTTGATTTCGCCTACCAACCCTGAAGGAGGATGACTAAAATCAACAGATTAGAAAGATAAAACAAGTTGATGAAAAAAAGAACAAGACCAAAGACGGAAAGCAAACTAAAGGTTTTGGAGATGGAAATCAATTAACACAGCAAGCGCTCTAGCTGAACGCTTCTAGGAGGAAATGACGAAACAAAATTTCAAATTTTGAAAACCTTGCACGGCTACGGACTACATGGAAAGTAAGAGAATGGCCAGCAACTCGTGTTATACAAGTCTGAAGAGAGCGGGCGGGAGATGAGGGAAAATGAAAATTTCGCCTGCAAACATGCATTTACCTACACATTGCATGAAAATATTCAGTTAAGTAACTTAGTTTCATCAAACGAAGGAAACATTAAGTAGTGCATTTTAGCATTACAAAATGCACTATAAAACGTGGACACCTTTTTTCTCGTTTTAAAAAAGCTCCAAAAAGCTAGTATTAACCAATTTCTATTCCAAAAATTATTTTTCCGGGTAATTTTAGCGCATAGAATCCAAATTTTGAAATATGAGAGTTTGTGAAACCAATCTGAAAGACGGGTAGGTTATATCACATCAAGGTTATATCAAGGAATACAAAGATGAGACGAAACAACAAAACACACCATGAATACATAAAATAAGCGGACTTTAAAAAATACGGGAAGTGAAAGTCCACAAACGAAATGAAAAATTCTCCAAAAAAAATTTCGTGGTAGCCCTTTTAAAGGGCTTTTCCCTTTCAGCCACGAATCTCCGAAATGCCTGTTCCCAGGATTAAATTTTCGAATGTTTTTCATTTTATTTTTGCCCTTGTTCTTGGTGTGTTTTGTTGTTTCGTTTCATCTTTGTATTCTTTGATATAATCTATCATCTTTAGAATGGACTTGCAATCTTTGGTCAACAACAACAACAATGTTGTCGAGGACCACAAGAAGACGGAAGAGTTAGTCGAGCAGAAAGATGAAGCGCAGCCACGGTAAGTTTTGCTGTTTTGTTGAGCAATTTGTAGAAATCAATCCGAAACGAGACTCAACTCAAAAAGAATTCAAATCCAAGGAAAATATATGGATCTTGGAGCATTTTTTCAAGTGAAAAAACCTTGAATCAATATTTGGAATAAAAATTGTATATTGCAAATTGGAAGTTTTTGCACCCGCTAGAAATCACTGCAAAAAGGTCAATGTGTACCTTTTTGATAACAATGGTCACTCGAATTTAGATGTGGAGATCGAAAAGATCCAACTCTAGGATATTTCTTATGATTGATCATCACAAAGACCTCAATTAATCTTTATTCTTACTAAAATAATCTCTTCTTTTGATCAAGCTTTTCATTCACTTAACAATTGGTTATCAATAGGTCATTCTTTACATTCTTTTATCTGCTTATTGATTGGTTAGTTGAGAATCGAAATCACTAATTCTGTGTTATTCTATTCAACCATGTTTTGCTTTTCATTATTTTTGGATGAAGTGGTTGATTTCGTAGAAGAAAGCGAAGAAGAAGAAGGTAGGAAGATATCCAACTTTCTTTGACTCTCAAAGTTCGTATTTTGTAAATTGACCACTCGAATTGGATCGATGAATCGAACAAAATGTTGTTCAATTTACAACTGAGTCTGGTTTTTGTCGTTCTTTTCTTCGCTCAAATAAATGAAGGCATAGACTATAAAATAGGGTAAACAGGTTAAAGCTGACGCTAATAAAACTTAATTTTGAGTCAAATTGGGTTTTATGTTTAGTGACGATCCACTGGAATTTGTAATGTCGAAAAGAGCCGAATTCGAGTTGCTAACTGTCAAACATTCTGTTAAATTTTATTTCCACACAGTTTCGAACTCCGCCTGTATACCGAAACCAAAACAATGTAATTTTAGAAGGAAATTTGCTTGCATAGACTTGCTTTGAGTTAGGAAAAAGCAACCTTGCACTGTGAATGATTCTTTTCAAGATCTTCTTCCAAGATCCCACTTTTCTTTCTGCATTTTGAACGAAAATAAAGAAAAGAGTGAATAAAACTTGTATTTCATGTCAAATTAATACGAATTTTCGAAAAGAATAAAAGTACAATAAGAAAAGAATTAAGGTCAGATCCTTCATTGCAACGTGTCCGTTTCGATCAGAGATCCTACTGAAATATGAGTGGCTTTTGGTAAACATAGAAGTACAAATCATGACTAATTTTTATATTTACCGTCAATTCATTCCCGGTATCCTGGCTGTCGGCTTGCCCCAAGTCATCGCCCGAAACAGTAGCATCTCATCCACTAAAACGGCATTTTCAGCAAAAATTGTCTTTTTTTCTTAGGGGAAAATCAACAAAAATGAAATAGGATCAGAAATTAACTTTCACCTAAGAATCACTGAATCACGAAAATCAATGAGTAAGCCAGTATTCCTGTGCGATTAGATAAGAGATTTTAAAGAATCCTGAATTGAAAGTCATCCCTCAAAAATGAGATTTCAAAGAATTCTTGCTTCTTGTCGTTTTTGTTTATATGCCATATTTATTCTTAAAAAATTTTCTAAAGGCTTTTTCAGATGGAAACTGAATATGAAATTGTACACGAAAAAGTACATTCAAAGGAGGCAATGAATAGATTTCTGTCACAAATAGCTCCCAATGAATTAAACGATATCTATATTAGCATCACTTGCAATCCGATGAAACCAAAAATGGCAAGGTTTGACTGATTTTAGATTTCTGTTCAGAAACGGTCAAATTTCGATTCAGTAATGGGAATTTTTAGACGCCTTCATATTGAAGCAAAAGAAAAGCTCCCAAACTGGGAAACATTTGACTGGGGAAACATCGATCACCCAGGAGACGAGGAGTTTTACAAAAAGTAGGTACTAGTAGGTAGGTAGGTAGTAGGTACTTTTTGTAAACCAGACAGAAAAGCTGATCTGGATCTGGCTCTGCCTAATATGACGGGTTTGCGAACAACCGCCGGTTAAGACTTCATTCAACTACTGCTAACTTCAATTTGAATCCATTCAAAAACATACTAAATGACTTTGTCAGCGTTATAGGTGTCTAGAGGATCGAGAAGAGCGAATGAATCACGTGTTCGAGTACTACAAAAAATCGGTTTGTGTTATGATGTTCGTTGAATTCTTTTTTTTTGTTGGAAGCACTTGAGGACATCGCAACAATGGAAGGACAACGCCGAATTGCTAGAGCTACAGGTATTTTTAGGCTTCTGAAACTTTTGAATGCCTACCGTATTTCCTCTCATAAACGTTCCCCTCAACCAACTTTAGGCGCTTCGTTTTCAACCCCATTTTAAGATATTTCTATGTTTAATATACCAAGAGATAGTCCTTAATGTCTTCTTCCTTTGGTATATTAAGCGTAGAAATATCTGAAAATGGGGCTGAGAACGGAGTGTCCAAAGTTGGTCGAGGGAGGAGAGCGTTTATTAGAGGAAATACGGTAATATCTTTAGTTCACATTTTTATGGCTAATGAGCTCGCAAATGTTTAGTTATCGCTCAAAGCTTATATTTTTCAGGCGAGCTGGATTACTCGTTACTTTTCCATGTAAACAAACAGGAAAGAGGAAAATCGCTGAAATTGGCTAAAGGATTTCTCGCTTTAGCAAAAGGTTTCTTCAGTCATTTTACTGGCACAGTTAAAGTTTAGCAATAAATGATGGAAAATTCTCGACACCTGCGATCATTGGAGCCTCTCTAGCAACATTTTCGGGAGATCACACGCCACGAATCAGGGTCTAAATTTCTTCATTAGCCAACACAAGATTTTCATCAAGAGCCAGAGCTGGATTTGTTCAATACCTTACATAAATAATTCAGATAACAAATTCGAATGGAATTGATGGAAAATTCTTGAAGGAAATCCGCAAAGTGCTCATGGAAAACCAATGCCCAAAATATCATGTAAAGATCAAATCAGATGTCGCAACGTTAGTTATAAAAATAAGTTTTCAAAAATTGATTGTGTTTCTCTTGATTGACGTGCTTTGTAAAAGATGCGCTTCAGAAAGTTACCGTAATCTCTCTTTTTTTTAAAATGGTTAAGTGTATCTATTATACAGTGCGTTTCAAATTCTTAAACGCACCCTCTAAAATAGCGAATTTTGCATTTTGGCCACCTCTACAACTATTAATCTTTTTTCTATTAGAAAAGAGCATGTCTGAAAACCTAAATAACACGAAAATAAGCATACTGTAAAAAACAAAAATTTTCAAAATAGAAACTTTTTGCTAAATCAACCGTTTCAAATTCTTAAACGCACTATGAAAATATTTTTATTTATCGACACAAATAAAAAATCAAAGGTAAAAAATCAAAACTAATAACCCGTACACGCAACAGAACGATTAATTACTTGAAAAATCCGGTCTGGCATTAAATTGATGAGGTTTTGAAGAGCAGGGACGTCGAGATCGCTCCAGGCCGAAAAAATTGCTGCTTTAAGTGTAAAAACGTCTTGAAACTGACGATGATTCTTGTAGACAGCTCGAACAAGTATTCCCCATAAATTTTCTATTGGATTGAGGTCAGGAGACTGTGCGAGCCAGTCCAAAGTTGCAATGTTGTTGTTTTTCAGCCAATCTCGGGTATCTCCGGCTCGATGAACTGACGCGTTGTCCTATTGAAACAAATCGGGAACGGTTTGATTTAGGAGCGAAAACGGCGACAAGCAATTTTTCAAGATATTTATCTAGTCATCCGATTCGAAACCATCTTCAGAGCGAGCGTTCCATTAGCACAAAATACGGCCCAAACCATCACAGAACCACCGCCAAAGTTTCGAGTCCCAAACACCATCGGATCACGTCGAAGATCCCTCCAATAGTAGCCAACGCCATCGGGGCTATCCCAATTCCATTTCTTCTCATCGGAAAAGATCACCTAAACGCAAAAAAAATAAGAAAACATAAGCGGCTTTCTAACCATAGACCAATCCTGATTCATATGAGTCTTGGCGAACTCCAATCGGGCTTTCTTGTGCAAGAGCTTCACGACCGGTTGCATGTTCAATAATTGTCAATCGATATGTGGATTTTTCGTGACAGCTCGCCAAATTGTCGTCTTCGAAGCGTCGATTTTCAGTTCCGTTTTCACTTCATTGATCGTTTTTCCGTGGATTTTGTTCACAATATGGCGTCTAGCTCGCGGTGTCAGCTTTGGTTTTGGTCCTGGCTTCTTTGGTGCAGAAACGAACTCGGACTTTATATAATTTCGCACGGCAGAGTCGGATCGGCCCAAATTTTTTGCGATTTTCCTTATTGAGTCGCCAATCCTCAAACGGGCATCAATCTGGCCTTTCTCATAATCCGTGAGCAGCTTTCCGTGTGCCATTTATCTGGAAATTAACAAAAATTATAAATTTAATAAAAAAATATGCACAACAAAACGAAAAATTTCAAATAACAACAGCAAGGGCGGGTGCGTTTAAGAATTTGAAACGGTTGATTTAGCAAAAAGTTTCTATTTTGAAAATTTTTGTTTTTTACAGTATGCTTATTTTCGTGTTATTTAGGTTTTAAGACATGCTCTTTCTAATAGAAAAAAGATTAATAGTTGTAGAGGTGGTCAAAATGCAAAATTCGCTATTTTAGAGGGTGCGTTTAAGAATTTGAAACGCACTGTATATAAAAGGGAAGCGTCGGTTTGTCCGTCCGTCCGTCCATCACAGGTACCTACCTCGACGCCCAGGGCGAAATTCGGAACGCACTTTTTTTTGTTCGATAGGAAATTTGCTTCACACTCCGCTCCCAAAAAATCAGAAGATTTCATCGAGTCCTTTTTTTAAAAATTCAAAAAACTGCAAAACTAGCCACGCCCAATGTTGCCTAACTCCTCCCCGGCGCGCAGATGGCCGAGTGGTTAGAGCGCGCGTCTCTCAAACGAAAGTGGTAAAGAGGGGTCACGGGTTCGGTCCCTCTCCGAAAAAATTAATTTTTTTTTCTTTTAAAATGGAAAAATGAGTTAAAGTTTAAGGTATGCGCCGGCTCCAAATCATTCAATAAGAAAGCTGCTGTTAGGCGGAACAATTTGACGGAACCATTTGACGAAAAATTTTTTGACGCTTTCTTTGGACAGAACAATTTGGAATTAGCGGAATGAGTTGAAATTTTATGAGCAATTTTCCGAGAGAGTCTTTTAACCAAAATCATAATCTCTGAACAATAAGTTAGCTATTCTATTGGTTAATTTTAAACTAACTATGCGTCGTGCCCAACTCATTCAGCCAGGTGCCGGCTGGTCTTACTACAGGGTGGCTCAAAAGTCCTTGCACTTTTTCTGTAGCAGTAATTTTTTGACTTCTAAAATAGGTGAATTTCGGAAAACTAGCATTGGATTCTAAAAATTCAGGTATTTTTACCCCAATGGCCATTTTCATAAAAAGATTCCGACTCTCAACAACTTTTTGACTAGGATTTTTTATATCTCGGTCTGGTCACTGAAAATTTTTGCCAAAGTTGACTTAAACTTTACAGAATAAAATTCTTTCCAAAAGCTGTTGTTACCATTTGATAGAGCTAAGTTTTTTTCTTGAAAACAAGCCACAAACAAACTTTATATCTCAAAAACGAAAGATTTTCAAGCGATTTTACGAAGGGCACCCAAATCTCAAAAGCAAAAAAAGTGCTGTGACAACCTTTAAACATCCTCATCAAAAAGTTGTTTAGAGTTGCGACTTTTGTGTAAAAAAGTATGGTAGGGGGTAAAAATATCTGAATTTTCATAATCCGCCGTTAGTTTTTCAAAAATGGCGTGTTTTCCGTTTTCAAAAATGTTTTTCGAGTCAAACTGTTCCTTTATAAAAAGTGCAAGAACTTTTGCGTCACTCTGTATATTATAAGCTCAAACTAATCATGTTATAGTCATCCCACTGTTTTATTTTTAAAAAACCAGCTTTTGTACGGTAGGCTTTTCGGTGCATATTTTAGAAAATAATCTAATCAAAAAGTTTTTAAAATATAATTTTAGTTTCATCAATCTGAAAGCATCAGGCGAAGACCCATATATTCGATTTGATATCCCGCTAAGAGGGTGGACCGATCAATTATACCAACTAGCCCTCGAATGGCAAAAATTGAACACGGAAGAAAGGGTCAACTTCAAATTGAACTTGGTTTGAGTTCTTGGATCGAGTTGAATCTGGGATAAATGTTTATTTTTTTGAAGTACCTATATATGGCCTTTACAAGATGCACAAAACAATACCTGTTCAGTAATAAAGCACTAATGGTAAGCAGCGAAACTCATCCCAGCAAGCTTTCTTGGCTTCCTTTTTGAATTCGTTGTTTGGAAATCCCTCCTGGGATGTCTTCTCTAAATTATTGCGTTTAGTTAAATGCTTAAAAAGATTTGTCTTAAGTTTAGACTATAGAAATGCTATGACTCCGTATCCGCTAGAGTTCCAAACCTTCCAGGGAACAGAGCCAATGATCAGTCTCAGCTTATCTTAGACCAGTATTTAGAGTTAGACTGTTATAAAGCCCTAATTTTTTTAAAGGAAATCTTATTATGTAGAGTATGTAATTTACAATAACTGCTTACTTTGCCAATAATCCCAATATTTATTCACCAATTTCGACCTCTGACTCGCATTGATCCTTATGCAAAATCTATTGGGTTCTATCTATTTAATACTTTCATTATATTGGGTTGGTGAATTGAAAACTGCGGGGCTTTGAACCAAAATTTATTGAAAATAAAACCATAAATTCATTCCAAATAATTTCCATTATTATTGACGACTTCTGCCCATTTTACAGGCAATTTGCGGATTTCTCTTTCGTGGTAGGATTTTGTTTTTGAATCGAAAAACTTTCAAAGCCAATTTTTGACTGCTTCTTCCGAATCAAAGTGTTCTCCCGCAGGTTCATTACTGGTGATCCGGAACAAATAGTAATAAAAAGGGGCCTGACTGTATGGGGAATGCGCCAAAAGTTCCCAAACAAGACTATTTATTTTAGAGCGAGTCAGTTTTGCAACATGAGGGTGCGCGTTGTCGTGGATGAGAACGATCTTTGACTTGGAGGGCCTATTCTTCTTCAGGGATTCATTCACCTTTCCCAACTGTTCACTGTATTTGATTGCGTTAAAGGTCGTCTTGCTATCCAGCAACTCCCAGTACATCACTCCCTTCATATTCCACAAAACGCAGAGCATAAACTTCTTCTGATGCAAATCGGGCTTAGGGTCACTTTCGGGTTTCTCGCCTGGCCCCACCCATTGCCACTTCCTCTGAAAGTTCACAGATAAAACCCATTTCTCATCTCCTATCACAATTCGAGAAAGAAAAGATTCCCTTTTGTATTCTGAGAAATGGACGGCACTGATTGAGGCGTGCTGCCACTTCTGGGGGTTATTGAGGTCATGGGGCACCCAAGCCCCAAGTTTCGATTTAAATCCAAGGGTATGAAGGTGCCGTAGCATTGTAACATGATCAACCCCTAACTCCCCCAAATCCGTCGCAAAGGGTCCCAAATGTGTCCTGAAACCGCAGCGGAAAAGGCGAACGATAGTGAGCCTTTTCTTTAAACTTTTAACCTATTAAAAAAATAGTAACCAATATAAGAAAAAGCAGTTCTTTGTATCCTTTGAAAAACGACAATTTAACGTTCAACATGGGTGGAAACTTTGAAATGATCAGTTGTGAAAGATTGGTGGAAAGATTTTTCAGCGATTAGCTTTAAGGCTAAAGATCATTGTTGGGAATTAACAAAATTTTTGTTCTTCGTAAAATTATCAGTTGGCTTCAGAATCGCTGAGTGGCAGCAATTTTTTGAAATAGACATTTAATCATTTTCCATGTATCTTTGTGTTCTTGCAAAACCTGGGTCTTAATTTTTCTTGTTTTTTGTTTTTTTTTTCTTGTTCCAAATTTCTTGTTTAGAAACTTGCAAACTCAAAGTTTTTTATTATTTCATTTTCAAATACGAAATTCCCGTTAAAATCGTCTTGAAAACTTCCGCAAATAATCCTCGAAAAGGTGCCGATCTCTTTCATTCTTCTCTTTAAAATTGTTTTCCAGCAATTGTATGGGAGGAAGTTTCTGCTGAATATTAAGCTTTGATTGATGCAAGGAAAAAGCAAAAGTTTAGCAAAAGTTTTCCGTTTCAGCTTGTTTTACAACTTCGGTACTTTCATGACTATTCTTATTTTATTTTAAGAATTTAATTCGTGAAAAACAATGCTTACAAGAATGTTACAACATAGTTTGCACTTACATTCATGAGGTGTAAATATGGATGATCCAAACATTCAGCTGCAGTTGGCCTCATTTGCGGATTCACGGTAAAAATATTTTCCAAGAGATCTTTCAGATTAGCTTCTAAAATTCAAGGCATTTTCTACAGAAGATAGTGTACAAAAGCCATCAAAAACATTAAATGGTATCAATTAGCCTAAAATGATCTCACTGGTTAGTGTGGCTCGGTCGCTATCAAGACAATCCAACGCAAGGTCAAGTTCTTGGCTCAATATCGGTGCTCGAATTTTTTCATACAATAAATCGACTCCAAAACTAAAGTTTAAACATGTTTTTTAAGTAAAAAAAATGCTAACATATCGTCATATTGATCTTCTGGCACGCCGACCACATCAAGTACTCGCTGCTTG